CAGTGAACAGGAAGTGACCATATTTGGACTGAGGAGGAGTGACGTAGAGACGCCGTATACGTCTCTGGTAGAGACCTGTCAATCACTGTGTAGCCCCGCCCCTAAAGCATCCCCTGCTTTATGGTGCAGCATGCTAAGTTAGCATCAAGTTCAGAGTTTATCTTATTAAATCTCTCGTGTGGACTCCCTTCGTTTGTGACAAAAGTATTATTGTATCATATAACAGGAATTCATATTCATGACCAAATACGTGCAAAAATAAATTAGTCCCAGATATACTTGTGTGTGTGTTTATATATATATTTTTGGTTTTTATTTGATTTATTTTGTATATTTACAATGACCACTGACTGCTGACTCAACTATTATCCATCTTTAAATTTGGTCTTATTTAAAATGAATATTTTAACCTTACAGAGCCACTAACGTGTGTGTGTGTGTGTGTGTGCGTGCTAAGGACATTGTGGGGACCAGTTAAAACAATCACACTACGGGGACTTCATTAAATCTCAGAGATAAGACCTGTTTATTTTGTTTTAGGGTTAGAGTAGCGTTATGTTGTGGGTTAAGTCTCCAGGAAGTGAACGTGAGACCAACACAGTGTTTATTATTTTCCTTGTTGTGTCTCTCTGTGCAGGAGTTTGGCCCGGTGTGCATCCTCTCCACGCTGCAGTCCACCCTCACTCTGTGGTCTCTGCGCGGCCTCAGCCTGCCCATGTACGTCGTGTTCAAGCGCTGCCTGCCGCTCTTCACGCTCAGCATCGGCGTGTGTGTGCTGAGGAACGGCGTGCCGTCTGTCGGCGTGGTGATCGCCGTGATCATCACCACCGGTGGAGCCGCACTGGCTGGTAAACGCAACACATTCACACATCTCTCTGTACAGGCCCGAGGAGATTTTACTGTGATTATTCTGCAGCACAAAACAATTGACTTTGCTGCAGCTTTCCCAAAATGTTTGCATATTTTTGCTATTTTACAATAGCGAATATATTTTTCACAGATTTAGCTTTGCATTGTTGGACTTATTATTGACTGTTTTGTAAGAAAAAAGCAACGAAATTGATGCAGCAGAACCAGAGATTTGTCACATAGTTCTTCCTTGTCAACACCTGGCACCTACATTACCCACAAAGCATCTTGACTTGGTTCAGAGATTGGGTGTGTTTTGCTGCAGAGGGCTGATGAGCTCACGTCTTTCTACCTCTGACTTCAGTTTTGATGTGTAAAACTGTGGTAAAGAATTAACAAGTGTTTGATCTTACAAGAGATTGAATCTCTTTATTCTTGTGGTTCATGGAGGGAATGTCTCTTCTACTGTCCTTCCCCTCTTCTTTGAACCTTTTTATCCCTGTTCCCTTAATTCATTTAAACGAACTCTCCGAATTATTTTCTCCTTCTCTTTCTGAAACAAAATTGACAAGAGTCCATTCGTATTTTATGCCCTAACTATCCATCCATAACGAGAATCTAAGCTCAACTATCAGAGCTTTCATTTGTCACTGTCATCATTATATGGCTGAACTTCTTCGCTGTTGTTCCTCCTCACTCTGATAACTTCTTTAATTTCTCCTTTTTAATGTCATTCAGTCTTTTTCTCTAACTTTCACAAGAAAAGTTTAGTTTTCTTCTCTAAATATCGCAGTTAAACATCTTTTCTTCATATGTAAAGCTGTTTAATCGTTAATATTGATTTCTGGTCCTGTAAAGATCCTTTAATCATCTTTCCCATCAGTACATTTTCTTCTTCCATTACCGTTAATGATCCTGAAGTCATAAACAAAAAAACCCTACAGATAATTTATTTCCTGAATCAATCTCCGCGGCTGCTGCTCTCTGTGTTTCTTTTGCAGGAGGGGGTCGAAACATGAAGTGTGAAATGTGCAGAATATGAATCTAATGGACTGATTCATCATTCTGGGTTTAATCTAGCTGATCATCTAGTTTTCAGACGTTGGGGAAAGAAAAGTATTTCTTGACTGAAATCCTAAAAAAAGTGTCTGTAAATTGCTTCTGTGCATTATTAACCTTCATGAAACAACCATTATATTTGGGTCAACAAAGTGTGTGACCTCGACACTGGAGACGACTTTAGTTTGTTTTCTCCTTCCTCTCAACCACGCCCACAATCGTTTTCTAACCTTAAAGGGACAGTTTGTGGGATTTAGTGACATCCAGTGGTGAAGCTCCAGATTACAACCAATGGAATCCCTCTCAGCTCACTCCTCCCTAACGTGAGCCACCGAGTGCGAAACCATGGTTTTGCAAATTTAACAAGCGCGTAGAGAACTACGGTGGCCCTCAGGTAACGTAAAAACCAAAGACTGTAGATAAGAAGTGGACGTAGTCATCGTCACGTCACTCATTGGTTTGTGGACTGATGTTTTGAAGCCTCAAGTTCGGCAATTTTAGCCGTCTCCATCTTGAATTACAGCCGTCGCCTTGTTGTTTTTTCCGCAACCAGTGAACAGGAAGTGACCATATATGGACTGAGGAGGAGTGA